GTTTTACACTTACCTGATAGGGAGAAGAACAGTTAGCCAGAATCTTTTGTCCTTCCAGGATCTGTACAGTCCGAAAGCCGCTGAGGGTAAAAACGTCTAGCTGCACCCTAAGGTCGACACTGTAGGAAAAGTCCACTATCTTCAAAGCTTCATTGTTCTTATTACAATCATAGGGATCGTGAATTCTAAGCCCAGATTTAAGAGAAAGAGATAATAAAAATAGGCCATGAAAGAAGCTGCAGAGCTGGTAAAAAAAAAAAAAAAAAGGTACTGCAGGTGTCTTAGCTATGCAAACAGCTCCCTCCAGTGGTTAGTTATAAAAATGCACCTGTAGGAGCAGGGGCAGTGTCTACCCAAGTGGGGAATGTTCAGGCTTAGTTTAGTGACACAAAGTGTTATCTAAATCATAGTGCATGGCTACCACAGAACATTAATCAGGTTTTCCATATTATATATAGCAAGTACTAGAAGTAGAGTGCAGGCCTCTGCCTTGTATTGTACACATCAACTCATACAATAGCAATGATTTACACACAATGAGAATTATGATGGAGGAAATTAAACTTTTATAGGTGTCATAGCCCTTCTTGTTAACTGTTATAGATTAGGCTTTCCAGGTGTCACTCAGATTCCTCCTTCCCAGAGTTTAACTGAAAAGAACAAGACTCTTTTTTTTGTAAACTGCTATTTGTATAACGAACTATTCTGTTTCTATTAAACTAACACCATATTCCATTTTACTCATATCTGTAATTCCAACCCTTATTTCTTAAAAAAAAAAAAAAACCTTCATAACACTAATTCACTATTGATTAATTATATTTTCCTTAGGTTTACCAATTCCGTGCAAGAAAGCTACTCTCCAAACTACTGGGAACTATTTATGTAACAGAAAAGAATGGATTATTTTTATGCATTCTTTTTGTGTCTCTATTTTTCCCCTCAAATCCCTGAATGTTATCAGTGACAGGTCTTGTATTTCTAAATAATTTGACTAATCCCATCACATACCTTCACAGCACAGAATGATCTATCATTTTGCTTTAAAATTTACAGTTGCTACCATTTTTCCTTGGCACAAGATGCAACATTTTTTTGGTCATCATAAAACTATAATTCCCAAATATTTTAAACCTGGGAGAGGTAGGAAAAAATTTAAAAACTAGGAAGTTCTCCTAGCTGATTGTCCACTCACTGTTATCACAAGGAAAGCATTCCACTTTTTTGGCTCTCATTTTCCTCACAAAAAATGTGTAAAAACTGCCTTAAATTATTTCAAAAGGCTCTTTCAATCCCTTGTGAATCTGTATGAAATTTCTTATCAAATTTTATAAGTGGTGGCAAAGTAAAAGGCAATGTCAATTTGACACTATGTGGAGTCCTCTGGTGACTGCGAGAAAGGATCCTGGAACACACAGTTCACCTATGCCCAGTTCCAAAACAGGCTTAGAAAGTCCCTTTGCTTACAACTTCCATAGCCCTGAGAACTCTAGCACTTATCCTCTGAGTTTTCCAATGTTGTGAAATAGGCTGAAAATAAAAACTATACCAGGGGTTCTCACATCTAGAAACAGAAAAATTTCTTGTAGACACAGCAGCCAGGGGAATACAGCTTGCATTTACTTGGTTATGGGGGAAATAGAGGTATATAAAACATTCTGAAATGCCTGAGACCTACCTGCACAAAGACTTATCTCATTCAAAGTACTATCATGCCCTGGATGAGAAATGCTGCTATGTTATGCCTGGGGAAACCTTTGTGACTCTACTATCTCAGGAAAGAAGGTAGGATGCTCAAGTTCTTTTGGTTATAACTGCAGAAATACATTGTGGGTTCTCTTAATTTCCATGCCAACTGTGATTGGAGTCTAACTCAGTTCTTTCTTACAGATTAAGTAGTCAGGAGAAATGTAAAGAATGATTCTAGCTTTTAGTACATACCAATGATCTCAGAGAGAAAGTTAACTGCTTACCCAAGTCATCAGGTTGGGGCAGACAAAGCATCTTTTAAACCAGACTGCTTTGCTCAAACACTATGAGATCAACGATCACTAAAATGGTGTGCTGGCCTTACAGTCCTTATTATAAAACAAAACTTGTGGTTGGTCTTTGCTCTGTTCATGCCTCAATGTTTCCTATATTTTCTCAGTTCTTAGTATTTGGACTACATTTCTTACTTCCTGTTTTGCGCTCACCCTTGAATCTGACGGCTGACCTGGGTTGAATCTGAACACCCAGCCCCTTTCTTTGGCATGGTTTGTATGTGCACTCTGGTTGTACCCGCTTCTCTTGGCACCTCGATTTAGCCTGATTTAAGCTTTGGTCTTTGAAACTGAGCAGTGCCTTGGCTTTGTTAGGATAAAGACTAAATAATCTACTTCACATTCCTCCAACTATTCATATTTTATATCTCTTTTTGACAGGAATCATCATAATACTCAGAGTGGTTAGTTCTTTCTCTATTAATGTATTTTCTCAATTTTTTTCCTTTGAATTACTGAAAACTATTTCCAATCATTAATTTTTAGGGAGCAAATATTCTCTTAACATACTGTGTTATTTATAAATATGGCACTTCCAAAAGGCAAAACAAACTAGAACCTATCTTTGTTTTAAAAGAGAGGTGACAGAATCAAAAGAGAACAAAAAGGACCAACCTGTTTCTAAGAATCAGACTCCTTGGACTCAAGTCACCATGGACTATTTCTGCTTTGTGTAGTTTCTCCACTATTGTCAAAAGGTTATAAACAATCAACACAGTTATTTCATGGGTAATAAATTCACTGTGTTGAAGAAGATCCTGAAAATAGAAGGACAGAAAACTCACTATTTCTTAAGTTGAGGTGACAGTTGACTTAGTATCTTGCTGACTGCTGCTCTGTACTTTTCCTTGTTCTCTGCTAGAGCTTGGGTTCCTCTGTAGGTTGAGTCTTGGTCCCAGTTTTAACAACACTGCTCTTTTATAAGATTGTTTGTAAAGATTTAATGAAGTAATGGATGAAGAGCATCAAGGATGAGCCTGGCCCGTAAGAGGTACGCTATAAATGGTAATTTAAAAATACCCTTATTCCATCATTTTAGAGAATTCATATTACCATCAAAATATGCAGCAAAATCTTAAACTCCAAAGAATAAAGTGATACATTGTGTTTGGGTTCTAAAAATAATCCATTGGAGGTTAGCATAGATAAATAAAAGTGGTAAAAATGGACCATTCCTTACATAGGAACTTGGAAGTCCCCACTCTGTCCTAATTAAGTAAAAAGCTGAACAGACTGAAAAATCAACAACTCTTCTAGAATCTGTTAGAATAAGGGGACACCTCTGCCAATCCCAACTTTGTGAGTTTTACCTCTAAGAGCTAGACTAGGTTCTCACATTAAATAACAGAAAATTCCTGGCATGCTTCTGGCACAGGGAGGGGAAAAGGAGCCATTTTGAAATGGGCTGCAGCACTGTTCTTTTTAAACAAGCCCTGCCCTCAGGGGTAACGAGTTAACTAGAACCTAACCTGTGGGAATATTATCAGAGTCTAAGTGATCTGCGGGAAGGGAAATACTTAAAGCCAACTCACTCTAGCTGTCCTGTCCCATTAAGGTGGGAGAAAAAACCTGAGAAACACTTGTGAAGTTCATAGCCCAGAGGCATGGGTCCTCTATGAACAGTAGAAATCGAAGGACTAGACAGTGCGTCCCCTCCCCTCACGCGTATCACCACATTGTAAAGGCCAATTTACAGCAGTTCTTTTTACTCAAAACATCATTTCTGGCTATCAAGAAAAAATTGCAAGGTATTCTAAAAGGCAAAAAACAGTTTGAATAGACAGAGCAAGCACCAAAACCACATATGGCAGGGATGTTGGAATGAACAGACTAGGAATCAGTAATAGGAGTGCCCTGAGCTGATTACGAGCATAGTTAGATGACTGCATCATTGCCTAATTCTGTCTACTTTGTATATATTTGAAAATTGACATAATAAAAAGTTTAAAAAAACCCAAAGAGGTTCTTGGTCAAAATAACTTGGGAAAAGAAAATGATTAACTCTTTTAATTTGTAATTTAATTGGCCTATCTCTAGAATATTAACAGGAATTTTGAACTGAATTCCATTGCTCAATGGAGCACAAATCTCTCTACTTGAGAACTTCAAATAATGTTTTTATAGTATTGCAAACCTGAAGAGTGAAGCAGTTTATATATTGGTACCAAATGATACAGCCATCTTGGTATTGATAACAGCTGCACAAATGATCACACTCCTCACTTAAACGTTCCTTTAACTTGAGGTTGATATAAAAATCCCATGGGACAGGTTGAGAAGATACCTGTAAGAGATTATATTTTAAAAATAAGAGCAATTAGAATCTATGGTTATGGTTAGTAGATTGAAAATATTCTCTCTAGCCCTTTCAATACACAAACAGTATTAATAACAAAGGGGGATAAAGAGATACAAACTTCAAATTATAAGATAAATTAGTCATAGGAATGGAAGTACAACACAAAATATAACCAATAATATTCTATCTTGGTGTGGGAATGGGGGTAACCACATTCATTTGTCAAGCAGTTAGCAATGTATTAATTACTGAATCAGTATGTTTGCATCTGAAACCAATATAATATTGTATATCAACTATATTATGATAAAATAAATCACACTTAAATATCAAATAATATTAAATTTACACTCCTCTATTTAATAAATTCTTTTCTTAAAAAAAAAAGAAATAATAGTAAAGGGATATTTTAAAAGCCATAGTATTTAATAAAGGACACAGCAGCAACAAAATGTGGACACAGAAAGAGAATAATAAGAGGTAACAATTCACTTAGCAGACCCAAGGAAAGTCGATTCTAGCAGAGGAAAAAACCGAGTGCAATCTAATTTAACCACAAGGCCGTCCATCTCCCTATAGTATAAAACTGGTGGCACCAGTTACCTACAGAAGTAAGGGTGAAGGTGTAGCTAAAACAGGAATGTCTGAACTCTTCACAGAGGAAGTTAGACCGTGGATGTCTCCTCTTGCTCCTGTAGCCCAGCCTGGCCAGCTGCCTCTACCCCATTCCAGAAGACCAGTAGTTTGCTCCTAGAGAGTGTAAAACAGAAGACTTCTGGACTAGAGGACAGCAGACACTGCTGAGGATTGGAATACCATATGAAAGAAAGGGAAAAAAAGCTTATATATCCAATGGTAAGTGCACTTTCCCATCCCTTCAATCTCTAGACTAATTTCTCTGCTTCTGCTTTCAGGAAGCTAGCAGCCAGGATTATATGCTCCAGACAGGAAATCAGAAGTTTTCTCTGAGGAATCTGATCAGCTCAAGAGGAAAGACCTAATGGCTGGGGGTTTCTAATAAAATAGTCAAGTGAGATCTTCCTTGAGTGACGCCCACAGCCATCTTATACACAGTTTTCAACTAGCTTTTAGAGTCCCACACTTTAATATAAACAGGCAAAGACTTGAAGGAAGCCTCTAAAAGGAAACACAAAGATCAAAACAGACAAAAGGCAACAGACAATGCAGGAAGAAAAATTTATAGCATCATCAATATACTCAGAGAGACAAGGAATATTCCATGTTTGAAATGAAGGACAGAATGCTACAAAGAACAAAATTCTGAGAATAAAAAAGAGCTCTTGAAAATTAAAAACATGACAAAAGAAATGAAAAACCCAACAGAAAGAATGAAAATAAAGTTGACAGAACATCCCAAAAAATAAAGCAAAAAGACAAAGGGATAGAAAACAGGAGAAAAAGAAAAGATTTTAAAAGGATCTGTCCAGGAGATCTCATATCCTAATAAAAAGAATTGCAGCTGAAAGAACAGAGAAGACTGAGAGGAAGAAATCATCTTCTCAGAACTGAAGGAGTTTCCAGGTTGAAATGGCCATAGAGTATCTAGTATATGGGTGACAAGGAGACTTTTACCAAAGCATGTAATTGTGGTATTTCAGAATTCTGGGGACAAACATAAGATCCTATGAGGATTTGGAAGGAGGGAAAAAATAGTCTCATGCAAATAATAGCAACATACTTTAAAAGCGAGGTTAGAAGCCAGAAGATAATGGAGCTGATCTTCAAAATTCTAAGGAGAAAAGGTTTTAAATGTAGAGTTCTAATAATCAGCCAGACAACCAATCAAGTAAATGTGTGGAATAAAGAATTTTCTGACAAGCAAGATCTCGAAAAAAATTTACGTGCATCCTTTCTTGGGCAACTACTAAAATATGAGTGCTTAAACTAAGAGAGAAAAAATGGGATCCAATATCATGGAGCATTCAATTTAAGAAAGTGTAACATGAATCCCGAAGATGAAGGAGAATGGAAATTTCAAGGCAATACTGTGTCCATGTGTGTCAAGCCTAGAATGTAATTTGTCCAGACTGGAGCAGGCCAGAAAATTTCAGGAGAGATTTCCTCAAAGAGATAAAACTGATACAATACTTAATATATTAAGAGATTTACACAATAGCCTCTCATTTTTGATATCTAATCCTGGCATATAACGGTGAGTGATTTCTTGATGCCTCAATGACTTCCCTACAAAGAAGCTTATAAATTATTAGAAGGATTTGATGGTACCATGGGGCCACAGCTTCCAACCACATTATTTTTTATGAGGTAATTGAAATGACAAAAAAAAAATGAGTCCCACCTTTATGATGGTTAACTCTGCAGAGTTTCTAGGCGTCACCCAGAATAATTTGTAATCTTCACATATTAGATATTCTTGTTTAATGCAATAGTCCTCATTACCTGTTGAGAAGGTATGATTCCATTTAGAAATCATATGGATAGCTCTCTAGCTTTACTTCCCAGTTTATGGGCTAAAGGCATTTTATATTTACCAGCTAGTAGCATCTAGAATTCCTTTCTCAAAATTATTTGTTAAAAATTGAAAAAGGAGAAGACAGAATTTCTGCTGTTACTGGGACATGAACTTATCACCATGTCAACTTCTATAATGCTGTTTCTTATAATCTAGAAATATTTGTTGGGCTCAAGAATCAAGTTCAAATATAAATAATCACTTATTTGTTCACTGTCATATACAAAAGAACATGCATTCAATGATACTTACCTAATTCAATTTCCTTTTCTATTTCCAACTTAGGTATTGGCTTATCTTCTACAAAAAACTCTGCAGAGGCACTCAGCTCCGTTAAGGATTTTAGTAATTGTCTACGATACTGTGAACACCAGGGTGACTGAGTAGGGTTGTCTGGGAGGAAAAAGTTGGAAAACAAAAAACATCACCTAAAAAACTTAAAATGGGTATTATAACACAGGAGGGAAAAAAAAGAAGACTGTGTGATCAACACTGCTAACCTAACAATACTTTTCCATCTCAGGTCTTAATGACACTCTGTTCAGTTAGTGCTAATTTATTCCAGAAATTTCACAATTTACAGCAACTTTTCTAGAGAATAAAAGCAGCTCTGTTTGGAGATAAATAAATGTTTACTAGACATGGATGTAGATATTGGCTTACAAGTGGCCTTTAGGAACATACCTGTAGTTTCATTAGTAAGCTCTAGTTTCTCAGGAATTTGAAGACATTTGATGGAGGAGGTGCTTGTAACCGAGGCTGAAGATCCGGAGAACCCAGAGGAGTGTGTGGCTTCGCAGCTGTCTTCAATAATTGGGCTGAAACAACCACAAATGAGTCAGTCCTCATAGGGATAATATATATGAGCTTCTCTTTGTAATGATTTTATTTGCTGTTCAATAGTCTCATTTTTAAAGCCTATTATTTTCCTTAAACAGAAAAAGATTCATAATCAGAATCTAGGTAATTATTTATCCCAGCTGACAAGGAATGTCCAGCATTAAATTTCTGAAATTACGCTTTATTTACCCAATCTGTAGCAAATAACCACTATAAGTTTATTCTAAACGATTGAGAATCATTGACTAAGACACTAACTTTCTTCCTGTTTATCCTTTCCCTGGACTTCTTACTCTTTAACAGAAGATAAAAGAAAAAGGGACACACAAATCACTCAAGGTGAATACTTGCTAGCAAACATGATAAAAAGTTTGTGAGGCAGAGTCTCAAGATGCAGTTTTTAAAGCACAAATTGGAAATTAAAGAATATTCTTAAAATTGGAATTAGTTTGTTTAAATTAGCTGACTTTTAAATATGGGTAGATCACAAGGTTTAGTCCCTGGCTCTTTATGCCATTCCCTTCTACTATTCTTTATTCAGTTCCAACTCTTTCAAAAGATACTTTATTAAAGGGCAAAAAAAAAATGCCCCCCACTCTCCCAAACAGGTACACTTTGCCAAACTTTCTTCAAAGATACCTGGCCTTAATCTCATAACCATCAAACTTTACTTCTTCTAACCCTCATGTTCAAATCAATTACTAAATCCTATTGACACAATTTGGGGGATCTCTACTGTCATGTAATGCTCTTAGCAGAGTACCTGGCAAGTGGTAAGAGCTTGATAATTGATCACTATAACTGACAAGCACACACAGAATAAGAGAACACTCAAACAATCTCGTTTGTGTAACCTATAATCACCAATCACCTCAGCTTCTTGATGCTGAGAGTTGGATTAAATATAGTGCCACAAGTAGTCTGCTGGTCCTCAGAGGTCTTCACGTCTAGATCTTCTGGCAACAGTCTCCCAGGATCAGAAGGGAGATCCTTCAAGGATATTATGTCATGAAAAGGAGTGGATACAAAACGAGCTGCTCTAGCGAAGTCACAAGTGTCTTCTGGGTTAGGACAAATAGTTACATTCCTGAAACCTGTGATAATAGCTTCCTCACTCAAAGGCTCAATTCCTGTAAATTCATCCTGAAATGAAAACCATGTAAAGTTTAGCTGAAATATTTCAATATTTCATATGAAATGGCCTGTCTTTTTACTTATAGGTACACATATTAGATAAGTGATTTTCAACACAGGGTATAGAAGTAGCATATCAGAATCTCTAGGGGAAGGCAATTTTAGAAAACACATCATAATGTTTGAGGAAAATGGTTCTGTATTATGAAAACAGCAAACTATATTTCATTAAAAAAAATATAACACTGTGAGGATTCTACACACAAAGGGAAATACTGGACAATTTTTTTCTCCCCAACCAATTTCACCCAAGAACTAGGGGACTAATACTGTTTTTCTTCTGGCTATGGCCTAGAAAATGTTCTGATAATCTGCAATCCTCCTAGCTTTTACTTCTTCTATGCCAAATACTTAAAAAGTATAAAAAAGTTAAAAAGATTTAAAACATGTCTTTGTTTTTAAAATACATGACATGCATACAGTTTAAAAAAGTCAATAGTTTAAAGGGAAAAATAGTGAAAAAGTTTCTCTCCCACACTTCACCCCCCATCTCCACTCCAATCACTATTCCCCAGAGGCAACTGGAGTTATCACATCCAGCTGGTAGGATACATGCCCAAGCATAGTCTATGCATTTAAAAAAGGGACTTTAAAACAAGTGAAATTATAGCATATATGCTACTATATAGTACTCTTCTTCATATTTTTAGTATATTTTCTGTGCTATCAAAAATTCTTTAAAAACATGATGGTTACACTGTAGGTCTATTAGAAATTCACCAACTTTTTAAGGTTATTCTGTTTTCTAATACTATAAAACTATTAAAAATATCTTTGTACATGTACATCTTTAGGAATATCTTAATTTTCTTAGAAATAATTCCTAAAGGTAGAATTATTGGGTCAAAAGTTTATGAACACTAGGGTTCTTTTTACATATTGCCTAACTGCCCTCCTTGATTTTGGTACTACTTTACACATTTATCTGCAGTATGCCTAAGTGCTTATTCATTTAACCCTTGAGGATACTAGATGTTAATTTGCTAGGTCATTACCAATTTGACATACTTTGGATTTCTGACTCAATGTTAATAAGTAGAGGTGAGAGATACATCTAGAAGAAACAAAAAAATGTAGCTAAAAATCATTAAGATTAAAGTAAGAAAGATGTCTGTATTCTAAGAACACATTTTATGCAAGTACTACTTATGGCCCTATTAGTTTAGACTTTTAAATATGATCTATTTTTAGGGGAAGAATTCCGGTAGGTACCTATTAAGATTCAAGTAAAAGGTTTAAGACAAAAAAACTCGATTAAGATTGACTCTTTTAATAATTCAGTCCATCCCTGATCAGCTGAACCTAGAACCACTGCCTCCAAATTCAGCCTATCTATCCATGCTCTCTGGTGTTATTCTCCACAACACAGTATGTAAATAACTACTCTTACACATCATTATCTTGTTGTAGCGGTCTGTGGACTTCCAGAAAGTATTGGGAAATACCTGGGAAAGTATTTAAAACAAACAAAAATACATGCTAATATTTCATTACGGGAAAACCCAATTCAGTAGAGCTGAAACAGGGCCTGAGCACCTACAGCTATAAACAACTTCCTAGTCTTTTCTGGGTTGCTAGAAATATTCTACATCTTGTTTTGGGTGGAGATACATGTAAAAATTCATCTAGCTGTACAATTATTTGTGAGATTTAGAGGAGGTAAAATATATCTCAATAAAGAAGTAAATAAAAAGAAAAGTGTGTTTAAAAACGTTTCCCTGAGTGATTCATTTCCTAGGATGTGGTGAACACACTGCTTTAAATCATTATAACTACTGATCACGTCTCCCTTTAAAAGCCTTCAAATTAAAACACATTCAATTCTTTTCAACCTCAAGTTTCCAGATGCTGGTTTGAAGTATGATTTTCTTCCTTAAAATTTCAATGAAATGTCAATGATAAAGATTACTTACTTTGACTTGAATGTCTATGAAGGATCTTTTTACCCTAAGTATTACTATGTCACTAGTCAACAGTGGTTAAAATAGGACATTACTAACAAAAAAATGGCTATAGTGCACATAACTCTTCAGTTGCCACAAACAGTATTTTATATAAAAGAACAAAGATCTTTTGTGTGTTGGTTTAAAAAAAAGTATTACAGGTTTTAAGACTGATTTTTTTCCTCACTGTAAAAAATTGGGATATAATTCACATTACCAAAAAATTCACCCTTTGAAAGTATTCATTTCACTCTTTTTTAGTACATTCACAAGGTTGTGCAACCACCACCATCAAACTCCCGAAAATTTTCATCACCCCAAAAAGAATACCCAATATACCCAATATCCATTAGTAGTTACTTGCTAATCTCTTCTTCCCTAATCCTTTGGAAATTCCTAATCTATTTACTATCTTTATTGATTTACCTATTCTGGCTATTTCATACAAATGGAATGGTCTTTTGTATTTGGCTTCATTCACAAAGGAAAGTCTTTTCAAGGTGCATCCATGTATAAGATCTATCAATACATCATTCCTTTTTATGGCTAAATAATATTCCATTGTATGCATATACCACATTTTGTTTATCCATGCATTAGTTGATGGACATTCAGTTGTTTTCACTCTTTGGATATTATGAATAATGCTGGTATAGTACAAATTTTTTATGTGAACATATATTTTTAATTCTCTTGGCTATATACCTGGGGGGGTAATTACTGGGTCTATGGTACATGTTTAACTGCCAAACTGTTTTCCAAAGGGGCTGCACCATTTTACATTCCCACCAGTGATGTGCGAGGGTTCTAATTTCTCCATATCTTTACCAACACTTCTTATTTTCTGTCTTTTTGACTATAGCCATTCTATTGCATGTGAAGTAGTATCTCACTGATGTTTTGATTTGCATTCTCTGGTTACTAATGACATTGAGCATTTTTTCATGTGCTTATTTTAAGCCAGTGATTTTAATTTTAACCCTAAACTTTTGTGATCATTGAATGAAACAATCCAGCACTCCATTTACATTAACAGACTTACACAAACATCTGGAGACACATCCTCATTTGAGTTGATGCTTTCTGAAGTTTTGAGAATTGCAAGGGGTCTTCGTTGGGCTAAAACCTGTGAGGGATCTGCAGGGGAACTGGAAAAAGACATACTCCAGTTAGCAATTTTTTTTATTAACAGAGATAACAGAAATACCCTAATTAACTTTCATCTATAATAGTAAAAACTTTAAAGTGTCAGAACAAACAAAACAAAAAATCTCAAACCTGATATTCTTTTTTTCTGAAAGAAGAAACTCGTCAAAAATGGAGAAAGGTATACTGGAACCTACAGAAAAAGAAACTAAATTTATACTCTTTGGAGTAATGATTCCAAACTTCAAAACAAGAGTTAAGTAATATTTTGTGTT